TTTTCAAAATAAGATGTGTTAGTTATAATATTTGGATTGATGCACTGAAAAATATCCATAAAGGAATGAAAAACAGACTTAAATTTTGACTTAAATGGCTTTAACACAACAGGTCCAGCTTATCAAAAAAAATATATTACTACTTAAAATTTAAAGTCAACTTATCAAATTCAGTTTTCATGTTTCTTCTACAAGCCATCTTTTGATGTTTTATCTTATATTTCCAGTATATTTCATTCCTTATTATGTCTTTCACAGCTCTGAAATGAAATAATATAAAAGAATGATGGAAAATGATAGTAAATATAAATTTCACAGGACTAGTCAAGTAAATTCAAAGCACCATGTTTATTTGATCAAGGAGAAATTCTTTCTTTTGTTTGATTTAAGTTTTACTTAGGTTTTGCTATCGAGCAACTTTTGCTGTTTATGTGCAGTATCAAAACAACCAACGCTATAAGACAGTTTTTTGTTTTACGTAGCTAAAAACGTATGTCCTGATGGTTTGTATTTGAAGAGTAAACACACATAACCTTTTTCAAATTTTATTTCGTTTTTGGGTTCAGTTACTGTGTAACAATAGATTTCTAAAGGAATTAATAATGATAATTTTTAAAGAGCGTGGATGGATAGCTGCAGGTTGATTATGCTACTACGTATGATAAGTCATAAGTGTCACTCTTCATCATGCAAAACTCTAATAATAGGATAACAATTTGCTAAGTCACGTTTTTCCCGCACAGTGCTTGTACAAAATCGACGTCCTTAATATCAACAATCTCACGGCCGTAGCTAGAACGTCAATTTTTGTGGTGGGGGTGGGGTGTTTATTCCGTTTTGCTCGACAGACTTCTTTTGAATGTGATTTGGCTTTCTAAAGAAACTAATCAGGCCCTACAGAATGTACAGCCTCCCTGAAAGCCCTCTAGCTGCGTATGATACTCAAAACTCTTACCACCAGTGGCGTAGCCAGCCCGCAAGTTAGCTTCTGCTATGTAAATTTTACATCATCATTATTTATTTTTTTAGAAGCCTATTGTTTTTACTGTGAGTAAACACAAAAAATTTGCATCGCAGGACCAAATTTGCAAGCTGTCTACGCTACTGTTAGCCAAGTAATATGTGTGTCTCACACAGCACTTGCTTAACGTGTAATTGATTTCATTAACCGGGCTTGTATGCATTTCGACATTCATGAGGCTTTTATCCTTAATCGATAGCTAATACTTTGACCAACTCAAAAACTATTACATTTTCTCCTTCCGTTCTTCTCTGCCATTCAAACAAGATAAGATAAATGGCATGTTCAAAGTTCCGTAAGCATCTTGAGAAGGAGTGTAGAAACTCTATATAAAGCTTGGCAAAGTGAATTGCCTCGTTTTTGAATTGCCTCTTTTTGTAAAAGGATACAGAATTGAGAAATCCTGTAATTTGTGTTTATTGTGAGTATAACGCTATTTAGTGGCTATCATGTATCATATGGTGATTTGAAACAGTTACTGTCTAGTTATTTCTGCTTTTGAAATTTTTACAATTGATTTCTTAATCATAAGCTTACAGTTCAGTTTTCTTTTTCAAAATACTTAGATGAAAAAATTTGTAATTACCAAATACCAAAATTGTTGAGGAGGATTTCAGTAAAGCATGCCTCAAAATGTTAAATGAGTAGATTCCATTAACGCTGTTTGATTGATTTAGTCGTGGAAAATCTAAAAATTCAAAATTTTGGAGTGGTAGTTGATTGACTAATAATATCTTATAGTTTAGTTATATTTATCTTAAGCTAATAGAAGATAGCTCGACACTAATTGACAACAATTGGATCAGTGAACTTTCTTGCTGAATTTTTGAATAGCTCAGTTTTAATTAAGGCTAAATTCACGCAGACGTGTTTGCTGATCGTTCGTTTGCTTGCTTGTTTGTTCATTTTTCTCAATGCTTCTTTTCAAGAAATGTTTTTTATGTTCCCTTAAACTTACAGTTATCGATCACAGTGTTATGTGGAATTACTCTACCAGATCGCTTATCTGGTTTATTTAGAGACAAATTTTTACTTATATGTTTGCCAAAACGATTAAAGATTCTCTAGCTATTGAAAACTCCTTTCATTTAACTAGAGTACAAATGTGTGCATGTTCAACATCAAAAACTTCAGCTTTGCAAGCTGCCACTGCCTCTATTATTATTGAAATTTGTTCATGACAAGTCTTATCAAAATAAGGACTGCGTAACGCTGTGTCATTGGCCCACATTATGCCACTTATTCTCGAGTAATTGATAATTTATTCCTTTTTTGCTATAAGTAGACTTGTATCGCAAGACAAATTCAATTATCAAAGATTACAATAAGAGATACTGTTTTAGTGGAAACAATGAAAGTATTTTCAAAAGTCGTTTTTTTCATCTTTATGATGTGTGTGTTGTCGTCATGTTGGGCAAAACCAAAGTGGCTCTTGGTGAATGATGAATTCATAGAAAAAGCAATTGCATCTAAAGACGACGAAAAAGGGGAAGTCGGAAAACATCGTGTAAACACAAAGCGAGGATGCCGTCCAGTCTGTATCTATCCAGACTGCACTTTGTGCCTGAATAAAAGCACTTAATGACAAAAAATATTTGCTAAATAGCTTATTAGTTATTATGTATTCACCGTAAACTAGAAATAAAAGAAATATTGACATGTTATACTTCTGTGTGTGTTAAAGACGTTTCTGGTTGACATTTCGTATAAAAAGCTTTTGTCTTTGATGGTAAAACAGAAAAATTTCTCCAGTGTCTCTCACTTGCATCTGCTTTATAATGTTAAGCTATTATTGTTAATCAAGAACTTGGGTCTTATAAATCAGGCAATTGGCCAAAAGCAACACCGCAAATCTACATACATGCATGCAGTTTTGATCTGTTGAGTTATGAAAAAAATTTACAATACACTGTAGATATACACTTGGGTCTATTGCTTTAAAGTCAATATTTTGAGTAATTTTTACATGTCCGAGGCAACCTGTTAAAATTGATCGTTTAAAAGGAATAAAATCGAACTCGATAATTTTTGACTCGTTTTAACCAGCTACAGATATTTATATTTTGTATTAAGTTGTAAAAAACACTGCAGTTTCCTAAGATAAATTGTCCTCTCTTAAATCGTCCATGTCATCGACATATAGAATAATATTGCCAAAGAAAATTAGCACGAACAGCTTATTTCTCCGCGGAACAAGTAAACGTTAGTTCCAGAATCAGAAGTTCCCTCAACAGGTAATCTAAGTCTTAGAAAAAAATTCTTATTTCGGTATGACTTTAAGCTGACAACTAATTCAGAATAATGAACACTACTCGTTTTAGCGTTCTAACCATGTATCATGCTAAATTTCTCAATTAGGCTTATCTTTCTCCTCCTTTATAGTGACCGACATATGTAAATTTATTTTTCGATAATATAAAACTTCAGTGAAGAGTCAGACAATACACATGACCATTACCAAACTGTTGTATGTTTTTTACTCAGAAGAAAATTAACGGAAAATATATTATTCAGAAAAAGGACAAGGATAACTGTGCACAAAAGTGTAAATCGGTAATGTGTGAGCCACAATTGCCTCTTAATACTGTTTACCAAGATACAATATCTTCCTCTGAGTATACTAGGCAACCAGATGGCCATGTGTTCTTCTGAACTGAAAAAATATTGATAGGACTATAAAGATAGCTGAAAGATCTTCCTATCTCATTTTAAAAAGGCATGCTTGTTATAGGATATGTAAAGAGTTGAAACAACCATTAATTTTACATTAAAAACCGTTTTGTTAATCTGTTTGCTAAATTTCTCTCAAATTAAAATTTTTCTTTTGTTATTTCCTTAAAGTATTATATGTAGATGTCTAAAACAAAAACATGAGGAGGGGAGAAGATCAAGATGCCAATGTAGCTACGACGGCAAAAACGTTAGCTATAACCTTATATTTTAAGGCCACTTATGATTGTGCTGGTAATGCGAGTAAAATCACAGGTAATATCTCTTCCAACGTGCCAAACTACAGCAACGTCGCTTCCACAATAGAACCGATTAGACAGTCCTGATAATGATCGTTAAACTGCTGTTGATATCTTTTCTTAATACCTCTTCTGAACGAGCACCATTGTAAAAGATTGATGATCCTTCTATGGGAGAAGAAGAATACAGTAGTCTTATTGATATAGTAAATATGAAACTACTGCATTGATAAAGGAACATTAAAATTAAAAAGGGATCAAACAATAGATACGAGGAAACCAAAAAAAATTATCGAGCACAAGATTGTCAAGAACTGCAAAGATTCCTTCCAGTTCTTGACAAGCACCATGTAGAGCTTGTAGACAGGATAAATGCTTATGACCAACTTGAGCACAGAGTAAGTTTTTTAATGACCTTAAACAGTGAAGGTTTTTAACAGAAGTGCAAAACTTTATCGAGGCATATCCAGATGATTTTCCGGTTGGCGAGGAGTTGTATTGGAAATGTTGAAATTTTCAGATTTCTTTGACATCTGTATTCTTTTCACACAAAGATTAAGGAATAAAATAAAGCTCTTTGGGACAATGATTTCTGCACGAGTTGGACTTTGAAGGATTTGAGCAAATATAAGCGCTAAAGAACTAAAAACAGCTGAGAAATTATGCGGTGTAGAACAGTTATGTGTTATCTTAACTTATTAATTTTCTTCCATTTGTTTGTTGGCATTATCATGTTTCTTACCTTTATGTTTGGCATATTATTAGCATATTTTCAATCAATCAGCATACACATGTTTGAAGATGTGAAGACATTCATTTCGTCGAGCTAATCTATCAAAAAAATTGGGGAGATCTGGGTGATACAATCTTTGCAACAACTGCCTTATGAAATATCAAATTGCCTGCTCCAAAAGATAAAACATAAAGTTTAATGAGCCTGTAAAATGTTAACTTGTTTCAAACATCGAGTGTATGAATGAAGTTTTATATTTCTGCTAACAACAATGTTTGTTTTTTGGCAATAAGTTATTTCAAATTAAAATTCACTATATCAATTTATAAAATAACAGCATATACATTACAAAACGCTTTCTTCAGTTATTTGCATCCAAATTATACTTTGTTGAAGACAAAGTATTACCTAAACTCATTAACTTAACGTATGTTTTTAATTAGTGCATAATGCTTAAAACGTCTGCTATTTTACAAACGCACATAATTACATTCAGTGATAACAAAGGCAAAGTTAAGTAAAAGTAAATGTTTGTGATAAAAATTTAAGACAAAGCCACTTCAATTTTAATTTTAGTCTAAAAGGAAATTTGCGGAAGATTATTTCTTGGTCAGGAGGAAAAACGTACATAAAAATTCAAAGTTGTATCACTAAATTATACAACTACAACGGTACAGTATTATTATTGCCGTCTTATATTATATATTGTATGCTTATTAGCCACATTGCTTCGTATACTTAGCCTTTAGCCTGCCAGCTGTTGGTACTTAAGTTACTTTATAGACTTAAATGACAGTTTTACCCTAAATTACGCATAAATTGGATGTGTTTCTTTTACGTCCATAAAGTTTAAAAAATATCAAGTTAATTCTGTGTACTAAGCAAAGAAATTGGACAGAATATAAAAATTTATAAATACTGCGGTGCCCTTCTACTCAAGCATGCATAATTCCTCAGCTTGAACAAAACAAAAAATTGAATAACTCTTACTCAAAGAAAAATTTAGGACAACACGAAGTGACAAAGAGAAAATGGCCAGCGGTAAAAAAGACCCATGTCTAAAATTTTTAAAAATTTTGTCACATCCACATTCAAATTGATTCTATGTGAGAACAGATAAACTATCATATTTAAAAACACAAGTGTTTTTAAAATAAAGGTGAAATGAGCATTGCAACCACTTCCTTTTAAAAGATGCAATGAGCATATATGACGCGTGAACTTGCTTCAAAACATTGAATGTGTCAATAAAACCTCATATTTTAGCTAACAAAGGTCTCAATTTTGCTAGCAAGCAGAAATGCTTTGAAAATCTCAAAAACAGCATCATACAAATTGGAAACATTTTCCTGAGTATAGTGTTATTAAACAAAACTTCGTTGAACACAAAAGATTACGTAAAAGTCATAAAGTTTGCCTATCTTTCTAAATATGGTAAAGTTTCTTATAACGTTTGTCTTTTTTCCAACGGATAGAAATTAAGTTAAATTTTAACAACAACAAAGTTAAGTAAAAGTTAATATTTGTGATACAAATTTAAAAGAAATCCAAGCCATGTTTCAATTTTGTTTTAATAAAAATGTACGATAAACGATTTCTTTGCCTGGAAGAAGAACATACCGATACAAATTCAACGTTTTCTTACTGGACCATATTTATAAGCAATTTGCACTTACATTACACGGCACTAATATGGCATATTATAATTGTTGTTAAACTATCTGTCACGCTCATTGGCTACATTACTTCGTATATTTAGGCACAGCTGTGTCGGTTGTTCATGCTCATATTTTGACATTTTTAACTTAAACGAAAGCTTTAACCAAACGTATAGGCATAAGATATGTATCACATTTTTCTTCTCATTCTTAAATCTCAAAAATATAAGATATATATCAAGTACACACGTCAAGCTTCATATATACTTAATTGCAAGCAGATAAATATAATTTTTTAAAGGAAAACATTAAGAATCTTCCAAAATGGTGTCTTTTTACAAAAGCATTTTTTATTTCTTTGAACTCAAACAAAACAAAAATTGCATAACACTCACTCAAACAGAATATATTAAAAGACATTAATTAAAAGCAGAAAAACACTGAGCTAAAAAGTGTCTCGTTTCTAAAATTTGACAAAAATAATTGTTTGCTCTAACTTTCAAATCCCTAAACTTTAAAATCCCTAATCTTCAATTAAAATTTTCGCATTATTGTCGACAGAGACAAACGATGATAGTAAAAATATAGCTACAGTATTTTAATAAGGCAATGTTGAAACTGAAAAGGATTTGAGGTAAACAATAATAATAGAGATCACATTTCCTTTAGATTTCATGTGAAATGAAAAATGTGAAATTTTACAAATCATACAAAAATGCATAACACTGGTCAACAAAAAGAAACTTTTTAAAAGGTGTCTGATATTTTTTGACAGATTTACTATATTTTTGCTATGCTAAATCTAGAAATAACATTCATTTTGCTCTCGGAGGTCAAATTTTTTTGCAAATTTGAATTTAAAATTATGCGACTTTAGTTATATTTTTTTAAAACAATGTTTTCAAGATGTACATGTTTTCAAGATGTTTCAAAACAAAATGTCAGTTTTTATGATAAAATTGCAGTATTCCAAGAAAGAATCATGTACACTTCATGTACAGTACATGTAACTAAAAATGAAAACTTAATGTTTGCATTATTACGGTCTAAATTTTCGTTTTTTTGATTGTCGCGAATGTTTTGGTGCTTGCACATCTCTTTTTAAATTCCAACAGTAGTTCGCCATCATCACCATGTCCCACCTTTCTTAAGTCATGGTGAAAGCGTTCTCCTTGCTCATCGCTTAAAGAGCCAAGATTTCGGGATCAATACCAGCTTTAATTTTTCAGTTGACAAATTGGGGAAGGTTTTACAACGAAACTGAAAACACCGTCCATCTTTATCCAAAGTTTTAGTGAATTGCCTTATCAAACCGAACTTTATGTGCAGTGGAGGAAATAAAATACGTCCCCTGTCAACTAGAGGCTTGTTTATCACATTTTTTGCTCTACAACTTGCAAGCTCTTCACGTACTGGCCATTCTTTTTTCACGTAATGATGAGTACGATCCCTACTATCCCAGAGGCATAAAAAGTATGGGTATTTGGCAAATCCAGACTGTTGACCAAGCAAGAAGTTGACCATTTTAAAGTCAACGCAAATCAGCCATTTATGTTGGTCATAAGAAATTTTTTCTAGGACGTACTTAATTGCTTCATGCTGTTCTTTTAATGTTGTCGAATGTGCCAATGGCACAGATGCAAATTGATTTCCATTGTGTAACAACACACATCAAGGACCTTTGCTGCTGTCGATAAAAAGTCGCCAGTCCTCTGATTTGTATTCAGGTACGCCGAGATGTTTCAGTAGCTCTACTATGTCATTGCAATAGACTAATTCTTTTTCTTGAGCAAAATATCTTAAAAATTCCTGGTGCCTGGTACGGAAGAAACTTACCTTAACTTTACCATTTAGCATGTTCTTGTCCTTTAAACGAGATGCAAGAAGTTCGGCAGAGTCTTTTGGCAAATTTAAATCGCGAACAAGATCGTTTAGTTCGTTTTGGGAAACAATTTTGCCATCGGGAAAACAATTTAGTCATGTGGAAAGGATGCATCAACGGTAGTGGCAATGCTTTGAGTTTCATCCTGGCTACTACTGCTTTCTTCAATACTTGTATCTTCAAATACAAGTACGGGAATTTCTTCACTATAAGGAGTAGGGCGCATAGCTGACGGTAGATTGGGATACTCCAGTGTTGTAAGGATTTTTCTGTTAATTCCCATGACATTGATAGCACAAAAGTAGTAATCGGTTGCATGATTTAAGGCTCGCCAAATCATGGGGATGCCAAAGTTCATGGACTTTGCGCCATCTTTTGCAAACCATGTGAGGTGCCCAACTTTTGTCTTGATCGCCGAGCTTCATGCCAAAATATGCATAGTAAACGCGCTTGATAAAGGTGGTGACAGTATTGCGATTTGGTGCAAGTGTGTATTCACCACAAACATAGCAAAAAACATCTGGCTTATTTTTCTTATTTCTACTTTTATTATTTTACGTACATTAATATGTTGGTGTGTTTTAACAAGTTTTACCATTGAATTTCAGTATGGGCTAAATAAAGCCTTATTTTATCTTTAAATATCCCATAATAATCGCAAAACCTAAACTCCCTAATTGAAATTCAATCAAAAATTGCTTATTCAAATGCTTTCTTCTTTGTATTGCTAGTGCTAAAAAATTTAAATTTGTTCAGATAATAGAACTTTAAAAGGTAAATGGTTAGTGCTTCTGTTGTACCTTTCTCGGGTATTTAAAAGTTAAAAAATAGAAAATTAACGATAGTTTAAAATCTCGACCTGACCCAGCAAAAATAGTGTTATTTTTGGACTCAGCACATCAAAATTATCCAAAATCAGTTTACAAAACTGAGACACCAAATTTGCTGTTGACCAGTGTAATGAATTTATTCAAGTATATATAGTTTTAACAATAATTTAAAACGTTTCGGTAATAATAACAAATAACTGTTCTACACCGCATATTTTCTCAGCTGTCTTTAGTTCCTTAGCGCTTTTATTTGCTCAAGTCCTTGAAAAGAAAAAACTACTCTTCCGATATGGTGACGCTGAGTTCTTAGCACACACACATCTTGTTTTTAAGTATCGATGCTTTATCGTTGTTGATCGTATAAATAGACCCGAGCTGCAAAATAAACGTAATTGTCAACGCTCGACATAGAAGTAGCTACATTGGCGACTGGAAACACGAAGAACACGTTTCTCTTCTTTTGGTTGAAAATATGAAAGTTATTTCAAAAACTGTCACTCTTTTGCTTTTGTTTTGTGTATTTTCGTCTTGCTCTGGAAAACCAAAGTGGTTGTGGATGGATGATGAATTTGTTGAAGAAAAAAACATGTCCGAAATGGAAAAGAAAAAGCAAGACACTAACGATCTTCTGCAGCCAACACGATGTATCTATTCAGACTCTCGTCAAAGCAAGCGCTGAAACTTCCTCAAGTTAAACTATGACCAAAATAATTCTTAAATGATCTAATTTCTGTATGAAAACTCATTAAAATAAAATAATAAGATCGAAGTATTGACAAACTATATTTGTGTGTTGAAGGAGTTCCCGTACATTGTATATGTCGTTTTATGTATACAATAGCGTTTGTCTGAAGCAGTTCGAGCAGTATTACTTTCCAACTTTTGCCTTTTACATCTATTTTAAAATGAAACACTTATTTACAGTCTAGACTATATATGTATTTTCAAGTTTTCGTTTATCGTTGTTCGTTCAAAGCTTGATAATTGCAATACATTGATGCCGTTGAGCACAAAGAACTTGTTTATATGTTTTGTGATGGAAATGGTGGGGCGGTGAAATGTAATGCATGAAAATATTTTCTTAAACCATCTCAGACTCTTTTCTGATTCTTTAATTCTTTTCTGTGTGTGTTTCGTCTTGCTGGGCAAAACCAAAATTGTCGAGGGTTGATGATGAATTTGTAGAAGAAGAAAACAGAACCGATGAGAACCAGTAGCTACTGCGGATTTGTTGTATTTATAAAGTGGAAAAGTAACCACGCAGGGCGCAATTTGATTACCAAGTCTTTTCATTTCGTAAAATATTTATTTTCAATAATACTTTTCCTTATTCTGACTTTACCTCATTTTTGGTTGTAAGTTGGCATTTTTCGAAAATATGAGTTCTATGACGTGCAAAACTCTATGTATGAAGCCAATTTCGAAGCAATGATAAATGCAAACAAACTTTAAAATACTACAACTATATGACAAACATAACTTGTATACATGTAATATATGTCATATAATTTAACCTAAAGGCTACTCTCTGCCAAAATTTGCTGCCAGCAATCAAACTATTCGTAGTCTTTCCACGCGCGGCTGAAAAAAGTTCATTTACAACAATAAACACAATGCTGTTTGTTGAGAAGACAAACATGTGTTTCCTGCGTGGGTCACACGATTGTTCACGAACTCTGATCTATATACTTCTGAACAACAACAAAGTACGAAGACAAAGACATCTCGTTGTAAGATCCCATCCCGTTGAATTTAGTGGTGCTCGACTGATTTCGTATGAAAGTGAAGATAAACATCCCCAAGTTAACGTTCTAACATCCTTTTTCTGATTTTAAAAACTTCCAAATCCGCCATTCATACACTATTGAGTAGAGTTTTCGAAAAATTAAGGGAATGTTTGAAAAGAAACGCCAATTTTTGAAGTTATCAGTTCGAATAAAACATGTTGTCTCAAACAACGATAACTGGTAAACCTAAGCGCTTTACAATTGAATGGCAAGCAAAATTCAGCAAAACATTGAGCTCGTAGTATTCTCGTGGACTTTTTAAACTGGATTATTATATGGCAAGTGCCAAGAGTCACTTTCAGCAAAATGGTGCGCTTTGATTATCTCATTAACATTTTTGGCGGCAAACATTTCCCCGTAGCTAATTGATGGACGTTCAAATCATTTGCAGTAACAGCGTAAACAAACTCGTGAAGCAAAATGAAAAAAAAAACAAAGAACCATATTCTTGACTTGAAATTCAGCCATGTTTGTGGTATGATACAAAAGAATATTTTATCAGCGCTATTGTCGGCACCAGCTGACGTTGAGAGCAAAACTGTTTGATAAATCTCAAGAGAATGGTTGCAAGTCAACAATACGAATGTGAGACGAAGGAAAACGCTAGGAAAGTGTTTTAAATTATTCAGACAACAAAAATTATGACGATGTATTTTTTATTGACGAAAACTAAAGAAGCGAAAACAATCCCTATATAAAAAAGCGAGTATGAAAAGGAAAGAAAGCCTTGTTTCAAATTAAGTTATGCCGCGAATAAAATTAAATTTATTCGCGTCTCTTTTTCCGAGTCTTTAATTAAAAATCTCGGGCCTCTGTTATTGTCACGGATTGAGAACGTTCTCGTAAAGACCTCACGCTCGGTTATTAAGAACTTATAATACATTTATCAAAAAGTCATAATTACGTTTTAAGATACTCTTGTACATCTTATCAGAACAGATTTTAAGATAACTTTCACTTATATTTCTACTAGTTACGATTAAATTCCTCATTTTAGTCCGTATATTATGATCGAGATTTTGTGTTTCAATTCTCAACAAATCAAATTGAATTATTCATTTTATTTACAACATTGTCGTCTTACAAGAAATACCTGTGTGCATATCACCTTTAGAAATTGGAAAGCATTTAAACAATGATTTAAGACTGTTACGATAATTCGTAAGCCTAAGTTCGTATAAGATTGGAATGAGAGCAAAATTTAAAAAAAGCAACTGGTTCATAGTGCTCTGCAAAGTGTTTAGCATAGCTGCTCTGTATTTTCCCTAATCTCTCGTTGATTTCCACTTGTTTGGCGACGAAATATGGAAAGGCAGTTACAAATAAAACTATATTCAGAATGACGATTGTCTTTGCAATTTCGATGTGTTTACTGTTCTGCTCTTGCCCATTCATATTTGCATTTCGTC